GAGCTGCACCTCCTCTGCATCCAGATTCCAGCTGGGATGGCAGCAGGATCCTGAGCGGGCCTTTGACAGGTGGGGCAATCGCCTCTGCCTGCATGCAATTAAAAACTCATTAAGGCACAGCTCATTTCCCTCRTTATTTTAAGCAATGAAAWAACATTTACAGTTTATTGTGACAAGAGTGAGCAGGCTGGSACGGACCCTCCCCCAGCCCTCCCTTGCACACGTTTGCTCSGTCAGTCCAGCCCTGTGGCCGAGCYTCAGGCACCAGAGCAGGGCTGGACACTGCYATTGTCCAGCTCCAGGGACAAAATCCTCAGGGGAATCTGCAGGGACAGCAGCTTCCCAGTGGCTGAAAGCCTTCAGCAAGGCTCGGGAAGATTCTGTGCCAGGGCTCCAATCCCTGCCCTGCCCCAGTCCTGTCTCACACACCAGGGCACGGACAGCCCTGAGACAGCCAGGCAGGCCTGGATTTYCCCCTGAATTCTGGGGGATGGGGGAAGCAGCAAGGCTGTGCTCAGGCAGGAATTCCCACTGCTGCTGTGAACTGAGGGATGAATCTTCTCTCTGCCCAGAGAAGCTGTGGCTGCCACAGGATCCCTGGCAGTGCCCAAGGCCAGACTGGGCAGAGCTTGGGGCACCCTGAGACAATGGGCGGTCTCCYCGCCATGGCAGGRGTGGCACYGGATGAGCTTTAAGGTCCCAAACCATTCCACGATTCCAGAATTCAGCAAGGACAGACCTCTGAGATTGAGTMCAACCATTCCCCCAGCTCTGCTGAGCTCACCCTACCCCGTGTCCCCAACTGCCATGTCCGGTCATCTTTCACACCCCCCCCAGAGATGGGGACCCCAACCTGCCCTGGGCAGCTGTGCCAAGGCCTGGACACCCTGTCAGGGAAGGAATTTCCTCAATATCCCCCCTGCCCTGGCCCAGCCTGAGGCCGTTCCCTCTCCTCCTGTCCCTGTTCCCTGGAGCAGAGCCCGACCCCCCTCGGCTGCCCCCTCCTGTCAGGGAGTTGTGCAGAGCCACAAGGTTCCCCCAGAGCCTCCTTTGCTCCAGACTGAGCCCCTTTCCCAGCTCCCCCAGCCGCTCCTGGGGCTCCAGACCCTWCCCTGGACACACAAATGCTGCAGTCAAACCAACCCTCAGCTCTCAGAAACCACTGAGGGCACCATGGCAGGAAAACGAGCTCTGGCACATTCCAGGCCTTAAATCCAACCATCAGCTTTGTACAAGTGTGACAGTGACACGGTGGCATTMGAACATATTAAGGCAATAAATCAATTTTATGCATTTTTAATGACTGAGCCTCCCTTTACTGCTGTCTTAAATGGGAGAATGGGGTCCTACAGTGCTCTAAGGCACTCCTGGAAATGAGAACAAGGATCAAGCCCTGCAAGAATCGAAATCTCTCCCTCCACCCCAAAAGCCTCTCTGGAGCAGCACTGGATTAGCTCCCTTTATCCCAAATAGATGTCATTTATGGCAAGTCTGTCACCAGGAAATCCCCCTGAGCCCAGCCTCATTGTCAGACAGAGGCTGTGRGGAGTCTCCTCATCCCTTCCTGTTGGTTGGCTTTGAGCACCACCTCAGCCTTGGCTTTTCACTGTGGAACAGAATGCTGAGCCCTTCCCCAGCCCAAACASGTTCAGTGGAACACAAGAAATTTATCAAAACTACCAAGTCTTTTGGGGGAAATTGCCAAAGCTCCCAAATGCTGTGAGACCGCCACAATGCGAGGCTGGAATCCCAGTGTCACCATCCCTCTGTGTGTGCTTCGGGAATGTCACCAGACATGTGCCCACAGACAGATGTGTGCTATGGGGACAGATGTGTGACCCACAGACAGATGTGTGCCCCAGGACAGATGTGTGACCCACAGGACAGATGTGTGACCCACAGGACAGATGTGTGACCCACAGGACAGATGTGTTCTATGGGGACAGATGTGTGCCCCATGGACAGATGTGTGCCCCATGGATAGATGTGTACCCCACAGACAGATGTGTGCTCTGGGACAGATGTGTGCCCCATGGACAGATGTGTGCCCCATGGACAGATGTGTGCCCCACAGGCAGATATGTGCTCACAGACAGATTTGTGCCCCCCAGACAGATGTGTGACCCACAGGACAGATGTGTGCCCCGCAGACAGATGTGTGACCCATGGACAGATGTTTGCCCCATGGATAGATGTGTACCCCACAGACAGATGTGTGCTCACTGATAGATGGGTGCCCCACAGACAGATGTGTGCCCCATGGACAGGTGTGTGCTCACAAACAGATGTTGCCCCATAGACAGATGGGTGCCCCACAGGACAGATGTGTGCCCCACAGGACAGATGTGTGCTCACAAACAGATGTTGCCCCACAGACAGGTGTGTGCCCCCCAGGACAGATGTGTGCCCCACAGGACAGGTGTGTGCCCCACGGACAGATGTGTGCTCACAAACAGATGTTGCCCCACGGACAGGTGTGTGCCCCACGGACAGATGTCTGCCCCATGGGCAGATGTGTTCCCCACAGGACAGATGTGTACCCCACAGGACAGATGTGTGACCCACAGGACAGATGTGTGACCCACAGGACAGATGTGTGACCCACAGGACAGATGTGTGCCCGGCAGAGATCCCAGGGTAATCTATGCTCAGAAGAATCAACTCAGCCTCATTTCCCTAATTGGTGTTAATGACCCACCTCATTTCCCTAATTAGCACTAATGACCCGCCTCATTTCACTAAATAGCGTTAAGGTGCTCACCCCTGACCTGCCCTCACTGCCCAGCCAATGGGACACCCAGGAAGGTGTCAAACCTTTGGGGTTTTCCCCAAACCAAACCCCAAACCCCATTTGGGATGAAGCTCCCACTTCAGCAGCAGGTCCAGAGAGGAAACCTCTCTGTGCTGATCTCCCAAAACCTCTGGGGTTATTCAGTGCAGCAAAATGCAGGGGTTTTCTTTACAGCAGCAGTAAAAAAAGGTGGAAAAAATAACAAAGAAGGATTAAAAAAAATAAAAGAAAGTTTAAAAAAACAAAAGAGAGACAGAAAAGTGAAAACAAAAGGGAAAGTCCAGGAGTAAGAGAGTTGCACAAACACTGAGCTGAGGGAGCTGCTGGGAGAAAATGATCAGTGCACTTTGGAAGGTGCTCTTTTTACCAGTTTGTAACTTTTCCACATTCTCCTGAATCTCCTGAATTATTAAAGCCATGCTGCAGCCTCTCCTGCCCTGCTGGCAGCCCTTCCAACACAGCCAAACACAACCCAAGCACTGAACCTTTCACCTTCTCCCCAGCAAAATTCAAGGCCAGGATGGGAAGAATCCTACCCCAAACTCCCAAACTGACCTGGAATATTTTGCTTCAACTATTGGTTGACATAAAGAAGGAGTATCTATTTATCTTTKCACAGAAATATAAAAAAAGGCCAGAGAATGAGGATTCTGCTGGGCACAAATCGAGGCTGCCTGCTACAAAGCTTGGCTTGTGGCACATGGGGACCTGCTCCAAAGGCACACATARGACACTAAAAATATCAACTAAATGCTAATTCATTATAATTCACTAATATTAAAAGCAAGAGAAAGTTCCTTATGCATCACTTCAGAAGAATTTTACTTACTCAGAAAATTTAGGCTAAAGGCAGGGGGCAAATGGGGAAAAAAGAATGGAAAATACTGCTGGAGAAAGCAAAATAAAAKAAATAAAATAAAATAAAATAAAGTMTAAAATAAWATCAAATAAAGTATAAAATAAAATAATAGCTCCATGCAGCTCACCTTGACCTCAATGAAGTCTGGTTTCCCAAGGGATATCAGGTCAGCATAAGCTTTGAGTTCATCCACATTCCAAGCTTTCACCAGGGTCAGCCTATAAACAGTGCGTTGTTGCTGGAATGAAGGAAAAAAGTCACATTAACATCCCTCTGTGATCCAGGAACAGAGGAAAAACCACACTGACATCCCATTCTGACCAAGGAATAAAGGAAAAATCACACTGACATCCCATTCTGACCCAGGAAAAAAGGAAAAATCATAGGCATCTCATTCTGAGCCAGGAATAAAGGAAAAATCCCATTAACATCCCACTGTGAGTCAGGGAAGGTATTCCAGCCTCACACACAGCTTCTAACAAGAAAAAGAAATTAAATAATCCTTTTATTCCAAGAACTCGGAGATTGACCCAAACCAGAGCCAAAGATGTCCCTTCAGGGAATCTGCTCCCCAGCAGCTGAGCTGAGCCCCCTGTGCCACCCAAACCCTCCCTCTGCTGGATCTCACATCCCAGGCATCTCCTTTGGACAGGAATTTAATGGGAAAAACAGCAGGAAATGTCTTTTCCTTGGATTTGCTTCCCCAGGCACAAAAGTCCCCATCAGTTATAGGTGTTTCAATGCCTTCAGCTGCCTCATCCAGCACTGGGCACTTCCACAATATCCTGGAATGATTTCTGTTGGAAAAGCCCTGAAGATCAGCGAGTCCAACCATCCCAGCCCTGTCCAGGCCACCCCTGTCCCCTGTCCCCAAGTGCCACCTCCACAGGGCTGTCCAATCCTCCAGGGGTGGCAACTCCCTCTCCCCCTGCAGAGCCTGGTTCTGGGTTTGACAACCATTCCATGAGAAATCTCCCCAAAATCCAATCTGACCCTGCCCTGGCACAGCTCAAGGGCCTGGAATAACAGAAAAATCCCATTAACATCCCATTGTGACCCAGAACAGAGGAAAAAAACACACTGATATCCCATTCTGACTCAGGAATAAGGAAAAAAACACACTGACATCTCATTCTGACCCAGGAACAAAGGAAAAAACACACTGACATCCCATTCTGACCCAGGAATAAGGAAAAATCACATTAACATCCAATTCTGACTCGGAGGCTCAAGGCCCTCTCCTCCTGTCCCTGTTCCCTGGAGMACAGCCYGACCCCYCCAGCTGCCCCCTCCTGTCAGGAGTTGTGAACATTCCCAGCTCCATCCTCCTCCCGTRGAGGTGGCAGACAGCACTCCCAGAACTCCTCTGCTTGGAGCTATTCTGGTTTGCCCTCTAGGCCTCTCCAGAGAAGTCACTGGTGACAAAAGGCCTCTCAACAYGAGCACTTGGCCACGGAACAAATCCACTCCTCACTCCTCACATCTGCTTGTTTCCATCCTTCCCCTCCCCTTCATCTTCCACTGATGTTTTGTTTCACTTATTTTTGGAGTTTATTTTTATTTATAGAGCCATTTTCCGGCACATCCGCACTTTGGATTAACTCCTTTGCTGTCCCTGCACACCATGGGCTGTAAATGGAAGTGTTGGTTGGGATTGGGATCGTGCCCGGGTGGGACCCCAGAGCTGCCCCAGCCCTGGGGCTGCTGGAGGAGCCCAGAGGAGGCTCCAGGATGGGCAAAGGGATGGAGCAGCTCTGCTGGGRGAGCTGGGAATGTTCAGCTGGAGAGGAGAAGCTTTGGGGTGACCCCACTATGGCCTTCCAGGACCTGAAGGAACCAACAGGAAAGAYGGAAAAGAATTTTGGCCAAGGGCCTGGAGTAACAGGACAATGAGGAAGAAATTCCTCCCTGTGAGGGTGGGGAGGGCCTGGCACAGGGTGCCCAAAGCAGCAACATTTAATCCTTCAGAGCCTGCAACTGCCACATCAGTGAATTTCCCCCCCACATAAAAATCAAGTATCACTCACCTACCACACATTTCTGTGTCTTCCATGGGGCAAAAAGGCATTTCTATCCCAAYTTACTATGGAAATATTCAGGGTATTTACTAAGAAATAACTGGAGGACAAACAAACAATCACCGGCAGCATCTTCCAAATATTTCCAGAACTCATCCAGCTGACCTCTAGCCRTGGCATTTAAGCAGATATTTAAAGAACAAGAAATTCTTGAGATTTGAGTGGATTGGGAAAAGAAAGGTCAAGAGCAGAGTATGAAATCAACAGTTAATTACTGAAGAGAAAGGAACAATGRAGGAACCAATGCAGGAAATTAAACACGGCGTTTGCACATAACAGGGAGAGGAGAAAAGATCTAAGGAGGAAAATCTCCAAAGCACACACCCCATCAGTCCTGTGGAATGATCAGATATCAATTAATGAGAACTGCTTCCCCAARGGGCAGCTCCCAGCAGGGACCAAATGCAGCAGCTCCAAGGCCCCAGTAAATACCAGTTTGTGTTTAACAGAACTGGTCCTGCTCCACAGCAGCCCCCAGCAAGGGCAGCACATCCTGGCAGGCAGGGAAYGGGCTTTCTCCCATTTAAATCTCATTTTTAGTACTCTCCAATTCACATCCCAGCTCATTTAGAAGTTTAAGGTCAAAGACTTCATAAAATTGAAAGTGCTGAATGAATTTAAAGGGCTTCTCCCCCCGGGGCAGCATTGACAAGGAGTTACTGCAGCCTCTGCGTGTCCATCACTGCAGCACCTGAACTGTCCCAAAAACTGCACAAACCCAGCAAGGCTGGGGAGGAAAGGAAGGAGAGGAAATTGAAACTCTGCCAAAGGGATACAGCAAACAGGTAGAAAAATCAGCAATTCATCTTGTGGCTGCAGAAGCCTCTTTCCAGAGGGCAACATCTTTATAGCGTTGTTGAGCAGAGAAATGCTGGTAGAACGGAGAGCTCAAAATGAGAAATATCCCAAAATGTTATCTGGGAGCAATCCTCCAGACTGCCAGCAGTACAAGCAGCCAGACTGTTTTATTCAGGGATTATTTGTATTTGTTGTACAATAGGGCCCCAGGAGATCCTCTCATAAGCACAGCAAAACAAGAAATAAAGAGCTTAAGCTGTGAGCATTGAAGGATCTGAAGCATCGGGGTATAAAAGCAGCCTGGGATGCTCCACGGTCCGTGTTTCCAGGAAAAGCAGCTGTTCCTGCACTCCAGTCACGGGCAGAACGAGAGGGACAGGAGTTAATGTGAGAAGAACCCCGCACAGGGTGGGAGTGAGGGGTGGGGGGCTGGTTTGTCTCTGTGCACAGAGCCAGCCTGGCAGGGGGGCAGCTCCAGGGGGCCCAAAATACAAATCAGTGGGGTCCAGCTCAGTCCTCTGCTCCCAAAACTCCTGAGGGCAAAGGAAGGAAGAACCTGCCAGGGGAACCCATCCTTCACCTGCAGGAAATTCCTGCTCAGATCCTTCCAGGCCAGCCCAAGAGACCTTGCAGCCCTTCAGTGCCAGAACARGGCACCAGGGAGACAACAACTGACTGGGTTAGGGGAGGATACCAAGGATAAAAATCCTTTCAGTAAGTGGATCCGAGATGCTGGACTCTCGGCAGAGCTGAAAATGGTCCCGGCCCTGAGGCTGTCGGAGCTCCAGAAGCGTTGGGACAGCGCTGCCAGGGATGCACAGGGGAGATTGTTGGGGGGTCTGGGAAAGGACAGGGGCTGGGCTGRATGGTCCCTGTGGGTCCTTCCAGCTCAGGACATTCCATGATTCCATGACAAAGCCCAAACCTTCTCTCTCAGGGTGTCTCAGGCCCCAGTCCCACACCAGCAGCACCCCATGGCCAGAGATCAGCCGGGACTGGGATCACCCAGACACCAACCCAGCTCCTTCCCAGCACAGGCTCAAGTGAGGAGTCCCCAGGTGCTGCACCCCTGCCCTCTCCAGCAGCTCCTGCTGGAGCTCACCAGCCACTGGGAAACTCCCTGGGCCAACCTGGAGAGCAAAGGGACAATATCCCATGGACAACCTTCAATGGGACAACATCCCATAGGACAACCTCCAATGGGACAACATCCCATGGAACAACCTCCTGGGCCGCACTGACCCCTGTGCCTGCTCCCCAGGCAGTGCCACCATCCCTGGAAACCCTCCCAGCCCACTCCTGGTCCTGTCACACATGCAGAGGGCCCTGTGCTGCCTGTGAGGCTCTGCTGGTGGCTCAGCCCCAGCCCCAGCCCAGGACACCTGAGCAGAGGACTCGCTGTCACTTTGACAAAGTGCTCCCTTCCCGCTCCAATAACCAYCAGGGATTGGGGCTGCTGCTTTTTTATCATTCCTTTTTAATTCCCTCCTCCTCAGCATTCATCTTTTCCCAGATCAAATGTAATTATTCTTCCTGAACAGCCCAGCTCTAATCCCAGCAGGAGGAGGGGAGGAGGAGCACATCACCTGCAAAGAGCAGGGATGGGGTTTGGTGGGGCAGGGGAGCATCTCCCTTCTCCAAGGGGGACAGGGGGAGCATTTCCCTTCTACAGGGGCAGGGAACCATCTCCCTTCTCCAGGTGGGGTGGGGAAGCCTCTCCAAGACCCTTTCCTTGGTCACCTGAACTTGCTGTGAAGGCAGARGAACCGTCCCTGTTTGGAAGGAGACAGGATCACAGCCAGATTTTTGTTCCAGCTGCTGCCTTGCACTCAGATATGCTGAATGCTTACACACATTTCTCAGGTACAGATAAAATGATTTTATCGCCATTTCACGCACTGACTCCTCCACAGAAATCCCTACTTTTGCAGCTGATGAATTTCAACATTCCCAACAGWAACACAGCTGGGTGGAAAATGCACTCTTTGGGGGAGGAAATGATGGGGCAAAGCCTAAGGAGAACCTGCTCTTTSTTCCACACACCTTCCCAGCCCTGTGCCAGCACTGGATGACGAAAAGGAGCCACTTCAAAGGCAGCTCCTTTCAGCAGGATTTTCCTCCTCTCTTGAAGCAAAGGTTCCACTTGCRAACTCCCTCCGTGACACATTCTCCGCGCCTCAGAGCTGGCAGGGGCTGCCGTATGAACTAGCCCAAAGCTGAGAGGATACAGCAGCCCCTAGGCAGGCATTCCCGGCTGGAGCAGCCCTGGAGGAACTGCCCCTTCTCTTCCCRGCCCTTCCCAACCCCGGAGCTGCCCCTCCTGGGCTGAGTCCACTCCCCTGCCCGGGTTATGCAATGGCTG